AAAAACAGTGAACACTAAAACACCGAACCGAAAATAAGGAGAAATTCTACGCACGTGACTAATAAACAAACATAAAAATGTATTGGTTAAGATCGTTTCAGCGCCGCGGCAGTTGGGGAGCCCACCCACGTTCCCGGCACCGGCGGTCGGGCGAGAGGCGCGGCCGCTCCCAGTAGCCACCCCGTCGACATGGAGCCCACCACGGCCAGGCAGGTGAGGGCGAGGGGGCCGAGCCGGGCAGGTGAGCGCCGCAGGGGGGGCGGTTGGTCTCGCTGCCTTTGCCACAGAGCAGAGCCGGCCTCCGTCGGGAGGCCAGATATATATATTGATATATATATTGATATATATCACAGTAATGATGGAGGTGAAAGGGCCTCATAAGTGGAATAGCCTAGGGCCTCTTTCATCTAAATCCGGCCCTGGGAGCAACCCATCTCTGATCATCCCTCCTCAAGGCTCAATCAACCTTAGGACTAAGGACAGTCTACAGAGTGCCCCTGCATGGCCCCATTGGAGTCTGACAACCAATCAGAATACAAGCTCAAATTCAAAAGCCCAGAGAGGGTATAAAACCCAGGCATTCCCAGCATCTCCTCCGTTTTTTCCCAGCATCTCAAGCCATGTGAACCTATTCATCAATAAACCTTCTTTCCAAGCAACTTCCATGAATCCAGTATCTTTTCCCCACTTGGAAGGTGGTATTCAGCTGGTTTGCACTGGTTCGCCTGAACCAGTGGCAGAAATTTTGTCCGGTTCGGCAAACTGGTAGTGATGGCTGGCTGGCTATGCCCCTAAACCAGTCCCCTTGTTGCTGGTTGCTCACCCCGCCCACCTGGTCGCCACTCGCTCACCCTGACTCTTTGCATACTGGCTACCCCATACACTTTTAAGGTACCACAGATGAGCTGGGGGCAGAAAAGTCTCCGGGACTGTTCTTTTTTTTTTTTCCAGTCTGAAAACCGTGACCTGAGGGTTCCCTCTGAGGGGAGGGCACGTACTTTATAGGGAACCAAAGTCTCCCCCAGACACTTTTTTTGTCTGCAAACGGATAGCCTGCTGACCTAACTAAGCCAAAGTGTTAAAATCCCACATCGAAAAGGGAAAAACATGGGAAGCTGAGTTCAAAAGTCCTGAATGGAGCCCCCCTGGGAGAGTTGTAGCATGAATAAAAAGAAAGAAAAAAATATGTAGGAAATGGGCTTTGCTGAAGGATGACCAAGGAAAATCAATTTGGCTAAATAAAGGTACTTAAAAGAAAGGGGGAAAGGAAAGGGAAAGGAAGATGGAAGGAAGAGAAAAGGAAGGAGAGAGGGTAGGAAGGGAAAGAAGAAAGGAATTGAAAAGAAAGGAAAATGGAAAGGAAAGGGGAAAGGAAAGGGAAAGGAAGATGGAAGGAAGAGAACAGGAAGGAGAGAGGGTAGGAAGGGAAAGAAGAAAGGAATTGAAAAGAAAGGAAAATG